TAGTGCTAAGGTTCTCAGTTTTTGAGGGCCGATAAACAGAGGGATTGTAAAACAAAGTGCAGGTTGGGCAGAAAGAAAGGAACCTGATTGTTGTTGGGATATTTCAATATTCAGCCGCACGGTTCCTACTGTGGCTGGGCATCCTCGTTTTCCTGAACAAATACTCCCCTAGTCATGACTATGCCTCGATTTTGCTTTTTGGAACAGTTTCCGACTTTGTGGCCTTCTCTACCGCAATACAAGCATAAATTTTCCTCCATACGTCGCTTTTTTTCTTCTATAGTAAGAGATTTGATACGTACCGCATCAATTTGCATGTCTTCCACCTCTGAATGCGAATTCACACTGCTTGCCGACATAGTTGGAGCATGGCGAATTGTATGTTGTCTTGAGCATTGGTCTTGGCGACGTTGGAATAGGCGATTATCGCACTTCACAGCTTGGCTAATAGCTTCATTGAGCGTTCGTGGATCAGGAAGAGTTAACAGCAAATCCTTCACATCATCTCTTAAACCCCAATAGAATTGACTCATCAACGCTTCTTCATCCCAATTGATGTCGCATATTAATTGCCTGAAATCCAAAGCATAGATTGATGTAGAACGCATCTCCTGTCGTAGAGACCGGATCTTTGTTGTAGCCCATCGAACCTTATCGTGTTCATCAAATGCTTCCGTAAATGCTTCCAAAAAGATTTCGAAGTTGTTTAATATGGATGATCGTTTCTCAAACAAAAGAGCAAACCATGATAGAGCTTGTCCCGTAAGTAAGGTTCCAACAAGCTCAACACGTGACTCCTCCGTTGGATATCGCTCGGGCTGTAAAACTGTTATCAACCTGATTTGACTGACGAATCCTCAAAATTTGGAACGTGTTCCATCAAACTTATCTGGAAGGCTAACTCGAGGCTCCTTATGTTGTAGAACTAGTGGTTCTTGTCGAACCTGAGGTAAAGTTGTTTCTCCAAGTGCCAAAATTTGAGGCTGGTGTAGTTTAGATTGTGTTATCCCAGATATTCCATCATTATGAAGCCTTGCTACCACTCCTTCAATCTCTGCAGTTCTTTGTGATAACGTAGTGAGGGCATTCATAATAGCATCTAACTTAGACTCCAAACTTTCTGTCATACTAATGTCTTGACCTCCGGCCATTCTAAAAGAAGGACAAAAATGACCCTATAAGAGGCAATATTGGTTTATAGGAGGGTAATCCACAACATATAAAACGCCTTAAGAATTTCAAGAAGAGGGGTAATCCACTCTCTCCAAGAAGAATATGACTCCAATATTGTAATAGAAGAAGTATCAGTTTAGAGGAGGGTAATCCGCAACCTCTAAAAAATGCTAGTATACCTTCAAGTAGAGGGGTAATCCACACTCTACTAAGAAAGAACTAGCTCTGATATCTCAAGTTAGTGTAGTTTCGACAAACTGTCACGGACACAAAATACAGACTTGAAATCTAACAAGAAGTTCAAAAAGAAGTGGCAGAACTAGATTAAACAGATGAGTACAAGAACAACACCAGAAAGGTGAGCTAGAACTCCAAGAGATGTGTTGTCAAGACTAAAGAACTCTTCAGCCTCGATCCCTATATATACTCCTACTTAGGAAGCTTCTCGAGCTACTTCTATTAACTAGGAAGCTTCTAGAAGGTTCCAGAGGCTTCCTTTCTAGAAGGTTCTAGAAACTTCTCGAGCTACTTCTATTAACTAGGAAGCTTCTAGAAAGTTCCAGGGGATTCCTTTCTAGAAGCTTCTAGAAACTTCTCTTCTAGAAGGTTCCAGAGACTTCCTTTCTAGAAGCTTCTAGAAACTTCTCTCTAAAAGGTTCCAGAGGCTTCTCTTCTAGAAGGTTCCAGAGGCTTGTTTTCTAGAAGGTTCTAGAAACTTCTCTCTAGAAAGTTCTTAAGAATATGTCCCTAACACCAACTTGAGTAAATCCATCAAGATATTAGAAGGAATGTAACCTTAGATAGAGCTTGACTTATTACAAAAATCTTTAAAATTTTGATCTTATTCTATCAAACTTTTAAAATATACTAATATTTTTCTCCATCATATTTGTGGAAGCAAAACTCCCTCGATTTGGTTGTGATGTCAATTTATATGGTTCTTTTAATTGCATAATGTCTTACTGCAAAGTTTGAACTTCTTCTATATACATATGAATAGGACCTTTATGATTCTTATTAGAAATACATGAGATTTCTATTCTTAAAGTGTTGGTAAGCTCATGAAGATCTATAATAGTTGCAAATCTATTCTCACTTCTATTGAGAATAGCATCTATAATCTTTTCTTCTATACGCAACTCAAAAAAGTTCAAAAGTTAAATTAGAGGAGGATAATCTGCAACTTTCAATATCAAATAAAAATTTCCACAAAGAAGGGTAATCTACTCTCTTTAAGAAAAAGATCAAAGTTGAAAAATAAAATTATTTATTTAAAGGTGGATAGTTTGCAACCTTCAAAGCACAACAATAGAAGTGAAATAATCCACTCACTTCTAAAACAATACAGAAACAGTAAGTTAGTACTCTTGTCATTTTGTCAAAGACATGAATCTCAAAGAAAGAAAATCTTGAATACACTCTTGAGTCATTGAAAAGAACTAGAAAATTATTCAAAGATGATATAATATTAAATTAAAATGGCTATTTTCAAAAACAAGAAGACTAGAAAGTCTTAAAACAAGACTAATGACTAAAAAGATGTTCATAAGAGTGAAGAAGGCTTCACTCTTGCATCCATACATACTCTTAACTAAGAATTATGTCGTGATGTTTTATAAGACCTCCAAAACATGTTGACTTTGCAAGACACTTATCATAACTTGTAAGGCAAGTTTTCTATATGTGCGCCACATAGTTAAATTTTTTCACAAGCTACAAACACATAGTTAATTTATTGACCAGGTTTCTAACCTATCAATCAACTACAAACACATGTAAAGTCAAAGCAATGTCTATGAAGCTTCTAAGAAGCTACTCTAAAAGATATTATAAAATTAATCTATTTTTATTTACTTTTACCTACTTCTACCTAATCATATAGATATTTACTTGAGTACCTATGTATATCCATGATAATTGGATTGCTATGGATGTCAACTATTGACATATTTTTTATATCATTGATTTTTATCAATCTAATAATCAATAATATAAAGTCTTTGAATATTTAAAGTTTAGCAATGTAAATATTTAATATGCTTTTATAGCTCATTTTAATTTGCATTCTCTTTTGAAATTAAAAATCTAATTAATTACTATAATTATAATCTTTTATAGTATCTACTTTTACAAATGTATCATCATGCTTTAGATTATATAATTATTTTCTAATTTGCAACTCTAACTTAGATTATTTAAGTTGGTTTAAGCCTCTATTAGTAATAAGAGATTTATTTTCTTTTATTTAGATCCAACTATTTGATAAGATGTTCTATGTTGTTTTCTATTTTCATGTTTTTAATTTCTTCTATTTTTTTATGATCATTAATTAGATTGGAATATTTATTGATCATTTTGTTAATTGCAAAAGTAATATTTTATAGTATAAAAGTATTAAAAACTTCCACTTATGTAGATACTCTATTGTATTAAAAAATAGCTTTTTTTGCTTCCAAACCTTGAACATTAAGTTATTAGATATTAATTAGCTTCATATTTTTGTTAGTGAATTAATATCTTAAAATAGTATTTTTAATTTGAAGTTAAAAAAGATATATTTTTTTATATGGTACTTTTAATAATAGCACCTCTAATTTTATAATATAATAGTCTTTTATTTCATATGCTTATGATATATAAGGTATATTTTAACAACAATGTGTTTTGACTTGACAATACATCTATATATTTATTTTTATTTATTTATTGATTATATACAATATATCAATCTAATTTAAATAATTTAATGATCCAGCTCTATCATTGTATAAAATTCATTTATAATTGCACAATAATGCTATTAGATTGTTTAATATTTGTTGCAATGTTTATATTTGTTAATTTAATCTTAACTTTACTAACTTGTTATTAGTTTGTTCTATTGTATTGATTTGCACACTTAAATCAACTCATGGTGTTTTTACCACATTCTTTATAACATTATTATTATCATATTTGTTGTTGAATATTATATTTTTTGTCATGTTGGTTTATTATATAAATACATGGATAGTGGTTTGCAATCTTTAATATGATAGTTAGTAGTAATATAAAACAATTCTTTGTAGGAAAATTGGTGTAGTCAATCAAGACTAAGTCACCATATTTGTAATCAAGACGTCAAACTCTTATTCTTCACTAAAAGAATTTGCAGTGCAAATTTGTTTGTTAGAAGTTATAATTTATTGTTTGAACTTGTATTTAAAATATTTCTAAAACCAATTGCTACATGTTAAATTATTTTAGAGAACTTCTTTAGAAATATGTTTCAAGTTAAAAAAAAATTATAACTCATATTACATTTGATGAGTGAACATTCTATACTCTATTAGATTCAAATATGGCATCCCATTGTTGGGACATGGAAAAACCAAACAATAATTGATAAAGAGAAATTATACTAGATTTTTTCTTATATTTATTTTGTAAATAACTTAAAGTAAAAGAATACTTTGACTCTGCACTTTACTAGCTTAATTAGGCCTTTAATAAATAAATAAATAAAGGGACTACTTAAGCCAAAAAAAAAAAAAAAAAAAAAAAAAAAAAAACTATATTCTAATCCTAAGAACAATTATTGCTTTATTTTCAATGTCTCATTCTAAATTCAATCCTTCATTTTCATCTATTCATATCAATTTAAAATTGCAGAAAATTCTCTTTTGCACGTTAAAATGCATTATCAGTACTATTATCACATGTGGACATGTCAAAAACGTCGCAACATCGGGGCACCCATGGCCGCACCCACGGCCAAAGGGGGAGGAACGGTTCCAAGGGATGAGCACCACTACTGCGAAGCGTTGGGGCGGGGGGGGGGGGGGGGGGGAACGAAGCCTCGCTCCCTGCAACAAACCACGAAATCGCTGCCACGATTCCTCGTCGATGCGACCCTGGGGTTGAAACAGATCCACCACGACCTTCACACCAGCTTGATCCCTGTTGGGTAGGCGTTTTTTCACTCTGCGCTGCCTCAATTAGTCGTGCTCAACGCTTCAGTGTGAAGCGCCGATGATGCGAATGTAAACGTCTTGCTTCTGCAAAATTGTGATGACGAAATCGCGTTGCAGGGTATTCTTCGGCATGGCTGGGGCGTGACACCTTCCGCAAGTCTGTTTGCTAAATGAGTTCGGAAGTGGAGGTTCCTGAAGTGGATTCGAGATACGGGGATCATCAGCTCGACAGAAGCCTTAAACCCAGCAGACCCCCCGCCCCCCACGTTTCATTTGCCAGTTCTCTTGTGGGGTGTCGGAGGAGGACTCATCATCTTCTGAGAATAACGATTTTCTTTGAAGAACTGCTTGCGCAGCGATCGTCTGTTGACAGTAATGAGGGCGGCCACGCTCGTGGTGATTGTAGGAGCCTACCTATTCGTGCTATTTTGCTTGGTATCTTGTTGCACAGGGTTGGTTTATTTGGCGGAGCTCGTGGAAGAGTACACTCGTCTTACAAGGAGGATTATTAATTACGTCATCAAGTTTGTGATCGCGCTCCATGTGATCTTGTTGGTCGTTGATGGGCTTCCTGTGGTTTCTATCGGCGTTGGAATTGTCTCCCATGTGTTCTACTACCGGATGCTGAAAACGTTCCCTTACATTTCCCTTACGTCATGCGATTTTCTTGGAAGCGCGGGCCTGCTGATTTTAAGCCATGTGGTTTGGATCCGCTTCTTTCAAACTGATCCGAGATGCGCTTATGTCAGTACGCTGTGGATGCTTGGGTTCATAGTTGTTATGGTATGGGTAGTGCCATTCGCATTTCTTGTCTCTCTGGCGTCGAATGAGAGCGTGTTGCCTGGTGGAAGTAGCTTGGGAGGGTTTGGAAGCAGCGATCCTGTGTCTCATGGAAATGGTGCGCCGAGACGAAAGGGCAGGCAGCAAAGCACTGTCATAGGGTTGCTGAATTACTTGAAGAGTAAGCGTGACGAAGTGCTACCCATGGTGTCTCAGGTTGTCCCTTCGTCCCGCAGAAACGTATGAATTGCATTCTGCGGGGTTTATCTCATCGCCCCATCGATTGTAATGGATGCAGCAGCAGCTGATTCGGAGGTGGGCACTTCGCACACAGAGCCTCCATTTAGTAATTTAAATCAGTTAATGATATTGGATTTATTTTTTTATTTTTTTTTAAATTCGTCAATCTGCGCGTCGAATTTTGGAATCCGTTGCATGCTAATTATCAACATCAAACCTATGAAGCTCATTTGACAAAAGGCTGTGGAAGATGAATTTAATTGTTCAATAGCTAATCAGCACTCAACAAACTAAACATAAGTTCTGGAATTAGTCACTATGTGACATAAATTAAGTCGATGTGTGAAATAATAGTCATAGTCTTGGCATGCACACCTCCCATTTGTCGGTGAGGAGTTCTACAAGTGCATCCATTTAGAGAGCTACAAGTTCTACCATTTAGAAAGCTGCTCAAACTCATGACGCTCATCACACTATTTCATTTTGTTTTATTTTTAAGTAAAAAAGTCAGCAGTTATTGCTCCTACCGATTGGTAACCTAGATTTTTTTAGTGTGCTGCAGAAAACATTGATAAACAACATGGAGCACAAACTGTAGGTGGCGATTCCTGGTGCAACATCTCAGTGCTTGGAACTTGAGGTCGCCGCTCATGTAATTTGTCTTGATCTCCCCGACAGAGTTGTGGTGTCTGTTCATCGTGTGGATCGTACTGCATGAACATGGCGTTCAATCACCGCATTGGCTTTAGAACCTAATCTCAATTTCTGCCTTCCTGCTCTTGCGGTTTTGCAGTTTAATGTGGAATTCATATCTTCTGCTACTCCAGCTACAATTGCAATCACATTTGTACGTTCTCATACATACCATGGATTACATGGAGCAGCATAGAATATCCTACGAAGGGTGTATCTTGTTTGTGGCGGCCGTCGAGTTTCTTCTACCTGCATGATCCCTTTAATGAAATACATCTCTTCCTTTTGAGCTTAGGAGCAACTCAACAAGGATGGAAATTGCGGGGTGACCGGGTACAGTTTTTCTTTCAGAATCCAAACTTGAGGAAATCATGGAAGCTGTAATGCAGTACTCTAAAATAGAGCTTCTGCACAATTGCTCATTCGATGTGGTTTTTTAACGGCACTGTCTTTCTGTTTTGACTTGTAGAGCAGTGTCAATAGATTACACGAGTTAGGGAACGGCTTACTATGACATGTACGTGCTCTGATGTATCACAGTACTACTTGGCTGATTTTCTCCAATAAGCAGAAAATTATGATTTAAGTCAGTTGTATTTGATCAATGAATGCCTGTTCCCCTTGCGCAATGTGTTAGGTGGATGTCATCAGGTTTTCTTTTCTATAACAACAAGTTCTGGCTAGTCTCTGTCATTTCATTTGTGAAGGATTGGTTATTATTTTATAACACATTTTGATTTGTAAGGGCTAACCAACTCTATTTTCTGTGTAAAAGACGACCTACCAATTTACTGTTAGGCTGGGACATAGTCATTATTTCTCATTGAATTGATTGGATCTGGTTCTACACGCGTGAAGTGTGTCAGGTTTAATGTGGTCTTTAGAACAAATGTATTGCATAATCAATGAATAGTTAATAATACACTATTTTACATTGGTTCTACCACCATTTGCTTTTCATAGAGGGTTCGTCCTGCAACACTAAAACTTCTGACATATAAATAATTGTTTTGCCAATTTTGAAGTCTATGTTCAAAAAACTAAATACGTGTATTAAGATAGTGTAGTGTTTCTCAAACGACGTTTTTTCATAACAACTTAAAATTTGCAGAAGAAATGTATGTACTTTTGTTGTTTCCCTTATACATAAAGTACTTCTGGTGTAGAAATTGGCTCTCTCTCTCTCTCTCTCTCTCTCTCTCTATGAATATATTCTTGTAATATTTTGCCATCTCAAGATTTTTGTAAAAACATCATTTTCACAATTGCAAACTAGTATGATTTCTATCAATGTTTTATTTTTAAACATATTCTGTTTATAATTGAGTATTTAATTAATTTCATTGTGTTTTTTTAATTGGTTATTTTGAGCAGTAATTCGTACAAATTCTAAGAACGTACATTATAAAATCTTTTTTTGTTATTATCTCTGACATCTTCGTAATGTTAAACAATTGATAAATGCAAGCTGAATAATATTTTAAATATCATGTGACCTTGATATTTTCGACCTTGCAATTTAAGGTTTTTAAGTTTTTGTTAGTCTTGTTTACATTGTATGGTATTTTTGGAAATCTGAAGTTTTATTAAAATTAAGTTTTGTGTTTGTTTGTTTGTTTGTTTTTACTTTTTTTGTACTTTTTTTTCATTTTTTTGTTCTTATAATTTTAACCTTTTTTTTACAATAACTTTTGTTAAGTTTGGTCACATGATGAACTCAAGCACTAACAACATACATCTTAATTTTACTAAAGTGTCTTTTCTTACAAATTATGATGAACTCTGTCAAATTTATATATTGTATATTATTTGGCGGTTAACCCTCACTCCAAAATAATAAATTTCATAATTCATGTTCAAATATAACATTCATGATTGAATCTCAAGTTTTTTTTTCCAATAAATCACTCCTTCACATGTATCCAAATTGTTTGTTAAACTCTTGAAAGCACATAAAATTTCATAAATTATCGACAATTCAATCTAGCTGTACATCGATACCTTGTATTATTCTCTATGAAAAAAGTCAACACAAATATTGGACGATGTCGGTGCCATTCTCTCCGACAACGTTACCGTTGACCACGACTACAAGGGAACAGATGGATCACGCCAACTAAGCACCCGCCGAAAGAAACCCACCAACGAACGATAAGACGGACGAACGATTACCGAGCCAATCTGGGACCGAAACCGGCTGCGCACCGACGATGCACATCCCGCAGCAGCAGCAGGAGGGGCGAGAGAAAGTGGAGTGCCAGGGAGTGCGAGGGAGTGCGAGGGAGGAGACGGACAGATATCACAACTAGTCGTCGTCGGGGCGCGGAGCACACAATCTCGGCGGTGAATGTCTGTTGGGGCCACTGTTCCAACAACGTCATCGATCACACGAAAGAGTGATGAAGCATCGGCACACACAGCGGCGATAAAACTCACACCCCGCCGGGAAGGAGGCGTAATGAGCGGAGACTGGGAAAAACCGTGTACGACTTCCTGAGAGCGAGAGGGAGAGCGAGAGGCCGAGGAGTGTTTTTTTTTTTTTTTTTTTTTTTTTTTTTCCTTCATAAAAACCCTTTGTGCAGCCTGACATACCCATTTGCATCTTCTTAACCCTGCAGTACCGATCTCGCCCAGTGCCGCCATCTCTCCGTCATTCCAATGCGCTGAGCATCTGCCGTCATTGTTTGTCTGCTAAGGGTTTGGAATGTGTTAATTTAAGGTTGGGCGTGTTTTTTGCGCAAGTTTGGCGATGGAATTCGGCTTGGTCAAGGGATGGTGGTGATGTGGGTGGTTGCCCGTGAGGGGTGGCGACCTTGGTAAATTGTGCGTTGTAGGTGGTGTGTGGAGGGTTTGGTGCGAGAGGGTGGGTGATGGTGAGAGTGGTGGTCTGTGACGAGGCTATGTGAACGGGCTATGGGATTAGTCTCGGTTGGTGTAGGAGCGTGCGTGGGACACGCGGGGTGGAGTTCGAGAGAGGGGCTATGGGCACGGGAATTGGTAGCAATGATGTTGCTTCGCAATCGTCGTCTTCTTCTTCATCAGGTCAGCATCTCGTGCAGCTGTCGAACTTTGCGCCCGTTGTTCCAACCCCTGCAAGAGGCGGACGGAACAGACGAGAGAATGCTGGGTTGAGAAGCTCCCTTTCTGTGCCAAGTTTCGCCACATATTGGAAGGTCCCCGTGGAAGACTCTGGAGGTGGAGCTTATGGGTACCAAGCTCCGGCTCCCTCTGTGGGTTCTGGCAAGGATGGATCCGCTGGACCTAAGGTAATGAAACCGAGTCGGAGCGGACCTTTGGGGAGCGATGCAGCGCCTTATCCAGGGAGCCAGCCCTCCAGCCGGCGTTGGTGGTGCCGTGGTTTGTCAATTTCTGTGTTGATTGTCCTAGGGATCACATTGGTGTATTTGGGGTTTCTCCTCGGGAGAGCTTACTTGCGCAGAGCGACGCTGCAATTCGCAATTGTGCTTGATGGTGGTAGCACGGGTACTCGAGTTCATGTCCATGGATGGGCTCGCTCCCCGAAGGATTCATTGCCAGTCATGGTGGATCCAACGACGAATACGCACTTGCCTGGCGCCCCGATGCAAGTTGTGAATGGGAAGCAGCGCCTGTACAAACGAGTGGAGACAGAGCCTGGGCTAGACAAACTGTATCTCAATAGTACGGGGATTGAGAATGCTCTTGGGCCGCTATTGGATTGGGCGGGCAGGCACATCCCCCGACACGCTTATCGTAACACGCAGGTTTTTCTTTTAGCCACTGCTGGACTGCGCAGGTTGCCAGTAGACCAGTCTGACTGGATTCTCGACCAAGCTTGGACTGTTCTTGAAAACTCGCCTTTCAAATGCAAGCGGTCTTCTGTGAAGGTAATTAAGGGCATCGAGGAAGCATATTACGGCTGGATAGCGCTGAATTACAAGTTTGGAAGGCTGGGTAATGTTCCCAAAAAATTGTCCAATTACGGGACCTTGGATCTAGGGGGGTCGTCATTAGAAGTCACCTTTGAACCGAGAGATGTTCCTCATGGTGAATACGGGATGAATCTAAGCGTGGGCTCTACAGAGCACCATCTCTACGCAGCCTCATATGCTGGGCTTGGTTTAAACGATGCCTTCGAGAAATCGGTGGCGTTGTTGCTAAGGGCACAAAATGCCACGAAGAGAGACAGAAAGAGACGTAGCAGTAACCTCTTGGAGGTTGAACATCCTTGTTTGCAAACAGGATACAGGGCACCGTATAAATGCTCTACTCACTGCGTTCTTCCTCCTCTGCCCGCGCGTAGATCTGGACGCAACGCTCCTAGTTCTGATGTGGGAACTGCCGCTCAGGTTGAATTGCTAGGAGCTCCCAATTGGGATACCTGCCAAGCCTTGGCTGAGGATATCATCAATTCTTCATCTGTTCAGGGTTGCTCTTTCCCTCCTTGCGCACTTGGTAAGCATCAGCCGTATCCCCAAGGGACGTTCTACGGACTGGCGGGTTTTTATGTTGTGTACAAGTTTTTCGGGTTATCCCAAGACGCACCACTTGATGACTTACTGGCGAAAGGCCAAGACTTTTGTAAGTTACCTTGGAAGGTAGCCGAACGTAGCGTAGATCCGCAACCTAGTATTGAGCAGTATTGTTTTCGGTCACCTTATGTGACCACTTTGCTTCGAGAGGGCTTGCATCTTCAGGACAATCAGATTCAAATAGGTTCAGGAGATTTTTCCTGGACTTTAGGTGCTGCGCTATGGGAAGCTGGTGCACTGGATCCTGTTGACGACACGAAGGCTCTGGGAGCATTGCTTGGCATGATCCGAATTTGGCCATAACGCTGGCGATCTTGCTACTTTTAATATCCATTCTGGTGGTAGTTACTTGGTACCAATGGAAAATGCGAATTAGGCGTCGTGGAGGATATCTCCCTGTGTCTACTTCGAGTTCGGGTTCGGGCATGCCTGCGAGCTGGTTACCCCCTCACTTGCGCACTCGTGGTGAGTCTCCATGTCTGCTCTAAGTGCCTTTCATGAGCCTGCGTTAATCATTGGACTGTTTGCGCACTGGTTTTTTCGGATCGAAATACTCAATTGTGATTGTGTTCACTACACTGAGGCTTTTCCAATACTGCATATTTTCAAGTCACCTACCATTTCGAGATACTCATGATTGGAAACGTGAATGCACCGATGGAGATGAGCGCGTGTGCATAAAGCATAGTTGTAGCCAAGCACTCAAGGTTCTTCATTTTCTGAGGAGGATACTATGACCGCCGAACGAAGTAGCTGCTCGAAGATGTAGCCATGTCAGTTCACATCGAATGAATGTTTTAAGCTGTTACAAGGTGTCGTTGACATCTTGAATTCACTAATCTCCGGCCTCCATCGGTCATTGATATACCCACCAGAGATTTTGAAGGGCACTTTGACAATCAAGGAAGCATGTTTTTGCAGGTGACTCGAAGACACCACTGAGCCCACAGCCAGGATATAACTCGGTATTTACGGACGAGCCTTCTACAGGATCAATTGAGAGTTTACAAATGTTGGTTTCTTCTGGTGTAGCCAGTGCCAAGATTACCCCTGATCGAAGTAGGCTGCAAAGTCGACGGACTACTTCACGAGATGAACTCAATATATTATTATGACGCAGTTCCTCATCATTTTAGTGGTTTGATTCATTTGTGGGCCTAATTTGGCTTTATCGTTACAATCTTAAGTTTGTTTCTACAGAGCCATTAGCCCTTGTATTTTTACTACTTCTGGAAATTCCATTCTTTTCGTCTCCTGCGTGGGTTTACTTGTTTGGTTCTGATTTTCTCGTACTTGCTACGTGGACCTATTTTCTGTTCCAAAGTGATCTCCTTTTGCGGCTTTGTTTGTTTTGTTTTAAATTGTTGATTTTTGGAGTTATATGCCACGTGTGTCTCAGATCTTATGTTGTGGCCACCGCATCTGTATCATACCACAATCATTGGAGCCTAAAAAGCGTTTAGACATCGGATACCTGATTCTCTGGCTGGTTCAGTACAAATTCAACTGACCTATTGGGAGTGATAATTTTCGCGCCGATGATAGAATCTCAATCATCCAAAACAGACTCAGGATTAAGCTACCTTTGAATTGTTGAAGATCTGACCTCATTCTAATAACTATATCATTATTTAACCACCAGCAAATGAACAGTCATGGAAAAGGACTAAAACCCAAAAACTATGGATATTTAGTACTATTGAGTAATGTGCCGGCTACTGATGTCGTGCTTGGTGCTCTTCTGGTGATTGTCTACATGCAAAGTTTTTGAGCACACACTGCTCGTAACGGTGACTGTCTTATATTTAGGTAGAAAAAAGAGGCAACTAATCGAATGCAAAAGGAGAAAACAATAATTTATTGTTGTCCGAGTGTCGAATTGCAAAGTCAATTACAATCCAGTATAGCAGCGCATCTGCATCTGCTGAAAGTAACATGCTAGGTGTAAAATGTAAGAACGACATAGAGAAGTATTTCAATGCTACATTTTAATGTTGGTTAATCAACCAGATTAGGCATCTTCCAGATGACAACACTGGTTGAGTGCACGCAACACGGTACTTGGAATTCCATTCTAAATTGAAAAATCACTCTCACTCCTAAAATTAGTAATTAGCCGTGGTCAGAGGGTCATGTCAGGGAAGGACCTGAAAATCTCGAAGGACCAGCAAGTCTTGTATCAATATAACAACCTCAACCATTTTGATGACCACAGCACAACCGACAAGATCTAACCGAAACAGTTCCAGCTCCAATCCCCCCCACCGAGCCCATCAAACATTATCACTTGTGCAGGATAAACATTCTGATTTACGCCGCAGACAAGATAACAGTTACTGTGGCCAAAATCCAAAAGAACCCCAGAACTTGGAAACCCCAGATAAAAAGGAAAAAGGACCGAGGTGGAGTTTGAGGGTCAGAAAAGGAAGGGGCTGTAGGCTTGTGGTAACCACACCCACTTAGGGCTACGTGGCGAACACAATGGGATTGGGTACAGCCAACGCTAAAGCGAAGAGCTGCAAGAGCAGCGCGAGGTTTGGCCTGGTCGGGTTTGGGCTCGCATGAGGTTCATATTAGGGTTGGTGGCTTCAGAAACCCTTCCTCTCTAGAGCCTTTACCTGTGGCTGCTTGGGCTGCTGGGAGGGTCTTGCTCCAATTTAGGGTGTGGGTTTGTTTTCCCAAGAGTTGGGTGGTGCACCAAGTGTAGCGCCGTGGTTGGAAGTGAGAGGGAACAAGGTACGACATCAAGATGTCGAACCGGTTGACTAGGATTGCCATTGTAAGCTCGGATAGATGCAAGCCGAAGAAATGCCGGCAGGAATGTAAGAAGAGTTGTCCTGTGGTGAAGACAGGTACGTTAGGGTAGGGGTTTTCCTTTTTTTTGCGGCTTTGTCAATTTGGGTGAGGCTCTGCCGATTGTAGAGGTTTGAACAACTTATGTGATTTGCCGGTTTGGATTGTGTCGTGAAGTTCGAATGGGTAGAGCTTGATTTCTTGGTGAACGTTTGCAGGGAAACTTTGCATTGAGGTTACCTCACAATCCAAAATTGCATTCATTTCCGAGGAGCTGTGCATCGGTTGTGGTATCTGTGTCAAGGTGTGTCCGATTGTCGCAGTTTCATTTATGTTTCGATAGTTAGATATTTCCTCTCTAAAGGCACATGGTTGCGCTTGTGATTCTTCATGTGTCTGAAAACTTGATTTAGTGTATTGACTTCTTCTACGAAGCGGCTGAGGTTGAACTGTGTGTAGATAGCTAGCCATTAGGATTTTTATTTTGGACAAATATGTTAGTATAGTTCTTCACCAACGGTGAGATCTGGTTACTCTTTCTTTAAATGTGGAAGAAGATCGTTCATAATTATGCTTCTGTTTTTGTCCTTTGTTATCCCCAGAAATGCCCATTTGAAGCAATCCAGATCATTAATCTGCCGAAGGATCTTGACAAAGACACTACTCATCGTTATGGTCCCAACACCTTCAAGCTGCACAGGTGCTTTGATTGTGTAATTTCCAGCATCGTTTTTCATATTTGACTACTCTTCCCTTGCCGTTGGAGCTGCGCCCATTTCGACTTACTATATTGGCCTCTGGCAGAGGAATGGGTTGTGCAATCGCTCTTCCGGTAGTTGGAAGTGCCTTTCTGCAGAACTACTTCTGTGAATGTTCACTTGACGACCAATGACGAACATACCAGTGCTGAAGAATCACTTAAGCACAAAATTTGAAGGCTACAGTGGATCTTGCGTTTCAATAACTTGGCGTTGAATTGTACATGGTACAGATTACCTGTTCCGAGGCCTGGACAAGTACTGGGGCTTGTTGGAACCAATGGAATTGGCAAGTCAACTGCCCTGAAGGTTTTGGCTGGAAAACTCAAGCCAAACCTTGGACGGTTTCTTGTAAGTGGTGCCTCACTCAAATGCCACCTTTCAATTGCAGCGATGTGTGAACCGTGCTTTGCTTGGATTGGATGATTTTGCCACTTTAACTTAGGACTTGCAGCTGTCATCTCTCTAGGTGTTGTGGAGATCTTTCAGAACCTGGATGTCAAAAAAGAGAAGCAAGCATTATCCAAAGGAACTATGTCGTAATCGCATGAGTCCAGTTGGTCCCGGCAATGGGGCTGATGTCTGATCGCAATATCTGTTCCTTCTGAGGATATGTAACGAGCTGTGACTGGTATTGTGTAGAGTCCGCCTGATTGGCAAGAAATTCTGACCTATTTCCGGGGTTCTGAACTTCAAAATTATTTCACTCGGATTTTGGAGGACAACTTGAAGGTACGATTCTTGTATAATTTTTCTCTCCTTGGCTTAGCCGCGACTAGTTCTCACAAATTGGCTACATTTTTATCAACATCATGGCAGTGTTTCTTATTGGGTGAATTGGACACAGGCAATCATCAAGCCGCAGTATGTCGACCACATCCCCAAAGCCGTAAAGGGTAATGTAGGTGAAGTTCTTGCCCAGAAGGATGAGAGAGAGATGAGATTTGAACTGGCGAAAGACCTTGACCTCAATCAAGTTCTTGACCGTGACGTTGGTGACCTTTCTGGAGGAGAGTTGCAGCGGTTTGCTATTGCTGTTGTTGCAACACAGCATGCTGAAATTTACATGTTTGACGAGCCTTCAAGTTATCTTGATGTTAAGCAAAGGCTGAAAGCTGCCCAAGTTGTGCGTTCTCTTCTCCGTCCCAACAGGTGATAAACTTATCTCGACCTTGGTAGCTTTTTAATGATTGATATGCATTAAACATTGAATTGTGTCGCTGATTTGTAGCCTTGAATCATGAGATAATGATTCGTTGTTCCCTATTGAAGGTAAAGACCTTATATAACCTGGTGGAAGTCTTACCTCTATTGTCTATTGTTTGTGCAGCTATGTCATTGTGGTGGAGCACGACTTGAGTGTGTTGGATTATCTTTCTGATTTTATATGCTGTCTTTACGGGAAGCCTGGAGCTTATGGAGTAGTGACTTTGCCCTTTTCTGTCAGAGAAGGTATCAACATCTTCCTAGCTGGGTTTGTGCCCACTGAAAACTTAAGATTTAGGGATGAGTCCCTGACCTTCAAGGTATGAAATTCCACACGCTTAGACTCCTCCGTAAGAGCGACTAACTAGAGGGCTTTATCATCAATGGGTTTTCTTATAATCTAAGCATTTAGAACTCTTGATGTGACTGGGCAGGTGTAGCGTTTGAATTGCAGATAATTACGTATTGTTGAATTTGGTGAAATGATGTCAACTTACAATTTTAATATTCCGAGGTTCACCTCATACGCTGGGATTTACACATTGTGGTTTGGTGGTGAACTGCAGGTTGCTGAGACTCCTCAGGAGAGTGCAGAAGAGATTCGCACGTATGCACGATATAAATACCCTCAGATGTCAAAGACACAGGGTGGCTTCAAACTGATGGTTAAGGAGGGAGAGTTTACTGACTCCCAAATTATCGTTATGCTTGGAGAAAATGGGACTGGCAAAACAACATTCATCCGAATGTTGGTGAGTTAGATTTCTCATTTGATTTGGACAATTGTTTTTGCACTTGGGGTTGAGTGACAGCTGTTTATATCTTGTTTTGGTCAGACCGTCTAACGGTTTTTTTGATGGTTTATTTAACTAGATCAAGATGGCTCACTTTTGTGTGGTAACTTAGTATTCAAATGCTAGCTAGTAGGTCATTAGAGTGTAGTGAAGTGCTTTACTTAAAGATTGTGAAATTCTATGTTTCATATCCTTGAAATGGGTTGCTGCTCTCTCTATCCCTTGATTGATTAGGGTGAGTTTTTCAGGCAGGTTTGCTTAAGCCTGATGAGGCTACCGACAGTGACGTTGAGGTTCCAGAGTTCAATGTGTCTTACAAGCCTCAAAAAATCAGTCCCAAGTTCACATCAACTGTACGACATCTATTGCATCAGAAGATCAGGGATTCTTACATGCATCCACAGTTCAATACCGATGTCATGAAGCCTTTACAGATTGAAGCTCTCATGGACCAAGAAGTTGTTCACCTTTCAGGGGGAGAGCTCCAACGTGTGGCACTGTGTCTCTGCCTTGGCAAGGTAATCATTTTGTTTTATAATTCACGTCTAATGTACTCGTCGATTCAATTAGTTTTCATATTCATGTTTACTTGTAGTTGAAGTGGTTTTTAGTCGTATTATTTCCTCTTCAAAAATGTTTGTATTTGTTTTAAGTGTGCAGCAGCTGAAGAGTCCAAAGAGGGCGCTGTGGGGGTTGATGCCATTTCAATCCTCGAGAAGCATATTACTGATTTTGACTTTTGTGGTTACAGCCCGCAGATATCTACTTGATTGACGAGCCAAGTGCATACCTAGATTCTGAGCAGCGTATTGTTGCAGCTAAAGTTATTAAGAGATTCATCCTTCATGCAAAGAAGACTGCTTTTGTGGTGGAACATGATTTCATCATGGCCACATACTTGGCAGACAGAGTGATTGTGTATGAAGGTCAACCATCTATCGATTGTATAGCAAACACACCCCAGAGTTTGCTAACAGGAATGAACCTTTTCCTCTCGGTGAGTTGTGAACTCTGGGAACATTTCTTACCAGCATTAGTGTGTTTTTCTGCGTTAGAGCTCTATTGGGTAGAGCTCCCTTCATCTTTTAACTAGATATTTCTTTTTAATTTCCATGTCTGTACGTAGCATATTACTATTTTATGCCTTTTCTTCACTTTCACCTTCTTTTCTCCTTAATCTTAGTTTATTGTGTATGTTGGTATTAATCCCGTGGATGGTTTGCAATAACAGCACTTGGACATCACCTTCCGGCGTGACCCAACCAACTACAGGCCTCGCATCAACAAGCTGGATTCGACAAAGGACAGGGAGCAAAAGAATGCAGGCTCATACTACTACCTAGACGACTAAATGCTCGGCATAGAGCTCGCTTGCTTGCTTCAAAGTTTTGGGTGAGGGTACATAGTACCAGTCTAACCGTATATTGTACCATTTGTTTTCCGTCATAGGCCAGGCCACATCAATGAAACCATTGCTGGGTTCTTCTTTGAGCTACCTCTATTGTGGCGCAAACCAGGAGTGAACATCCTTGAACTGACCTTGAGCGCAACAGAAGTTGTGGTCTTTTCTTGGAGTTTTTCCTCGAATTATTGTTCAGTACCAAGGGAATGTTGTGTTTCACGAGAATTAGTTTTAGCAGCGTGACGCATAACCTGCATGATGCATGAGTTCTGATCCTAGCTTATATTCTACAACTGCTAAATGCTGGCATTTATTAGTATTATTTATATCTCATTCTCGGCGGTCTGGACATTTCACTGGAATTGCTGAGGGGAGAGCCGTCTTGGATAATAATCGATGTTTAAATCTTAGTCTTATTCACTGATGGTCTAATCAATCTTGTTTCTAAGTAGTGATGTTGTGCACCATTTTCACACCCAGCTGTAATGATCCATGAACATGTTTCGTCAAGCTTTCTGTAAGCTCCACGTGTCACAAAATTCACAGGGCAACTACAATACGTTTTGTCTTGTTCATCATTGGGATTCATAAAATTACTGGTACCGAGATCGTGCCAGTTCGACCTCATGTTTGTTGCCTTATCTCTAGGTCAACAATGGTAATCATTGAAGTGAAATGGTGCAAACATTCTTCACTTCGATGTAAAATGTTATCTAGGGAGAGTGTTCGATCAGGCAAATAAATTGAAGTACTTGTGATGGGGACATAACCGTCTTGCAGAATCTGTCGAGCCCATGAGTGCACATTCTGCGATGGCTGTAAGATTTATTTATCTCGGAAGGCAGCGAAGAACATTGAAACAAGGATGCAAACTAGAAACTAGTTCGCTTTCTGACCATTGCTCCTTTATTGCCTCCTCCGCGACTATACATGCACACGCTACTCTTGGAAACCGTTGCGACTTCAAAGGTCAAAAGATGACTGACGTGAGAAATCGTCACCATTACAAGAAAACTAAAATGATGAACTTCAATTTCTGAAGAGAAAGGGATTTGAAATTCCAAAGAAGAAAAGCACTATGATCTATGATAGTATATAAAAGAACAATCGATGTGACAGTTGAATGCTACAGACGGCAATTTAATTGTCAACACAGATGAGAATCTATTATGCCTTGTTGTGTCAGAACTTCGAATCATGAAAGGAACTCGGGATCTGTGTGTTACGGCCCATTATTCAGCACCATTGGACGAGTCCAGCTTTGTTGTGGGACTGGGATGCTCGCTTGCAAGCACTGAGCAATCGAAGTTCTCCAACGAAGAAATGTATTGCATGGGGTTCAGAAAGCAGCAGTTGTGCATTTCAACGTGGCACCACCGGCTTTGCTTCGAGGTAAGAACACTGAAGTCCGGAATATGCTTGCTTCTTCTAAAGCTTTATTTGGTTGCTTGTCTGTTTGCTTGTTTGTTGCTTTGTTCGTTAGTTTGTCAGTTTCTTTGTAAATTTTGTGGATTCGTGGCATGTTGAGGGTGGCCTTCGATTGGCGTCCTCCATGACTCAATTCCTCAACTTTTAGTTTCCAGAATTTTTTGTTGGTCTCCCCACAATCGATGTCTGATCAAACCTGCAGATTGAGCAGACATTTTCCTCGTCGTCTGATCACCAAACTTTCAAGGATACCGACAAGTCATTGTGTCCACTGGTTGATTGATTTGATGCCATGCTTGATGATTCCTCAGAATATCATTCTAGGCCTTCTATGTATGAGTGTATGAATTAGTCTGTCTGATGCTGTGCTCTTTTTTATTTCGGATTACTCATTTCGACATGAGATTTCATTTTGTTGCAATTTTTTCAATTGTATGTCCTAGGGCCATATGTTACTCTGGAGTTTCGTATTCATCTGCGACGGTTTTATCTAATTTTACTAAAAACATTTATTTGTTTCATTGGCCTACATGATTGGTTTCAGGAAAAAGGCTCAGTTAAATATTTTGAGCAATTTCGATTGTATGTCATACTGAAATTAATACTCTAATTTCTAAATAAATAAATAAATAAATAAATACATATATAAATATATATAATAGAGGTAACCCAGTTAGCAAGCTAAATGATTGAGGGTGTAGAAACAGGTATCGATCTTGAAACAACCTGCGCGAGACGAGAAGCTCCGGAGCAGTGTGAGAAGTTTGTTGTTGTTGCTCTTAGGATTGATCTTTGTCCTACAAAGAAAATGTGCAGAATAAAGGGTGGGGGACCAAGACCTCGGCTGTAGCAGCCCGAGCCTCAGCCTTGCGAATTTCTGACTACAAATAAGCATTTTTCAACTTCCATCCTCTGTCTGTGAGCATTTGCCATTGCCTCGGCCTTCGTATTCCGTGTTCTGGGCAGTCCATTTCAAGTCAGACCACACCACGTCCAGAATCTTCCTAGACCTTCTGTAATCCAGACACATTTCGCCGATGACATGCCCATACCCAGGCACCATTCCTAATTCCGTAAAAAATTCACATTCAAAAACACTGAACTTATATTTTTTACATCAAGTAAAGAAGAGAAATGTGCTTGAATTATCCTACCAAAATTGTTACACAGAGAATACTTCAATGCACGGACAATGAATGAATCATCTTTGACTACTTGAAGGGTCACATCTATCATTCAAGTAGACTAACCAACCCTTGGTCCAGATTTTGTTATGAAAACTGGATGTGTTATGAAAGCAGGGTGGACATCATTTGTTGCAAACAAAATGTGCCAGAAGCCAAGGGAAGGGTACTTTTGATGTCTTAGTTAAGAGCTGGATAAGTCACAGCTTTCAGTACATTTAATATGGAACATTCAATACTTTTCTTCCAAAAGTGGGACTTAATTTGCTACTAAAAGAAGACCTAACACATTTCTAAAAGCTAAAAATTTATCTTTAGGAAGAGGTTTTGTGAAGATGTCTGGAGCTATCTGCTTCGTGGAACAATATTCCAAATCAATTTATCCTTTCTTTATACATTGCTTAATAAAATGATGTTTTGTATCTCAATGCTTTGTACAACCATGGTGGGTTGGATTCTTGGCAATAGCAATGGTATTCTAGTTATTTTCATAAGTAAGAATCTTTTCTAGCTCAAGAATATTATAATCCCTAAGTAATTTACAAAGCCACAAAGTCTCCCTCGCTACAACAACCAAAGTTGCATACTTTGCTTTTGTTGACAAAAAAAAAATTAAATATTGCTTCTTACTTGACCAATGGATAATTGCTTCATCTAATATAAATGCATAACCTCCTATTGAATGGTGTATCTCTACACAACCTATTCTATCTGCATCATTATAGCCTACAAGTTACAAATTTGCTTTCTTTTTTCCATATTGCAATATTAAATATTTTATTTCTTGCAAGTAATTAATATTCATTTGATTCCTTGCCAATACAAAATATAAGGATGTACCATGCATTGAGCAAAGTATTAACAAATAAATGCAATGTCATATTTTTTATTATTTGCAAGATACAAGAATGAACCTAAAGCTTTTTTTATAAAGCTTTACACCTTTTATATCCAAAGATTCATCATTCTTATGCTTAATAAAATGACTTTGTACCATTGGTGTAACAATTACCTTTGCATCTTCCATCCCAAATTCCTCCAACTTTCAACAAATGTACTTAATTTGGTTCAAATTAATAGTACCATTTTTTTATCTTGTAAAAAATCAATGCAAAGAAAATCTTTAGATTCACCAAGGTCTTTCATTTTGTAGGACTCTTCCAATTTATTCGTGTATTTTATAAGGATCTCAAATTTCTTGTGACCAATAAGTATATCATCAACATAGATGATTATTACAAGAATTAGTCTTTAAATATACATTGTGTACAAACAAGGGTCTAATTTTGAGTACTTCCAATCAAGATTTAATAAAGATTTATCCAAACTCTTATTCCATCCATGTCCAAATTACTTCAAACCATATAAAGTCTTTGGTAATTATAACACCTTGCCTTTGTGTTTTGATGGAACTTCCAAACCTTCTAGAATCTTCATATAAATATCTTCTTTTTTAAGTTTATGATTTAAATAAATTAAAATAATATCAAGTTATAACATATTCTAATTAAAGATAGCAATAATTGCAACAAATATGTAAATTATTGCAAGACAAGCGATTGGTGCAAAAGTTTCTTGATAATCAAGACCTTTTACTTAAATAAAATCCTTTGCAACCGATCATGCTTTAAAATGTTCAATAGAGCCATTGCTAGCAAAAACAATCTTAAAAATCCATTTTGAATTTATAGTCTTTCTATCATTGGATAAAAATAAAAATTTCTATGTATCATGATCTTTCAAAAAATCAAGTTCTTCCTTCAAGGCATGACTCCATTCTTTGCATAAAGGTTCATTAATAATCTCTGATTCTGCATATTCATCAACATGAATCATATCCATTGTTTCAATTGATAAGTCATTATCTCCTCAAATAAATTTTTTGTTTTTTTTCCAAAGCATGTGACGTATCCTACTACTACTTGTAATATTTTTTAAGTCAATACCACCTATATAACAATGTCTTGGTGGTAGAGCTTGAATAGTTGCCTCTACTTTTGGTTGATGGAATTCCAACCACACAATGATTTATGTCTTTGATTCTAAAGTCTTATAAGTACTATGTACTTGGTCCTTAATTTGAAGAAATGCAAGGCTACTATAGTTAGAAGATTCATCAAGTCTTTAGTTCATTCATGTTATTTTATTATTTTTATTGGCAACTTTTTTAAGAAACCATGGATCTATTTCATGATTGTAAAGTATTATTTTTTTGAAATATTTAAGAAATTTCATATATTAGTTAAATAATAAACCTCCAATTGTATTTTCTCAGTTTGATCTAACCAAAGAGACAAGCTTATATTGCAAGAGTTCATCAAGTATCTGTAAAATCAATGTATCATGTGTCAAATGTTTGTTGCTTGCAAAACTCAATAGAATAGGATATCAAAAAGAAAAAATAGAACTATTTTAAACACAATACAAATCATATTAATAAGCAAGATTATATCTTTATTCCTTTGTACTAAAGGTGTCTACATTGTTATTTAATTTATAAATTACAACCTTATCTAAATAAACTTAGATATGCCTTTTGACTACCTTTTTTATACAACAAAGTTAGATGTATGCTTAATAAAAATATTTGGATGTTTTTGCTTTATAGAAAAAAATAATATATAAAGACACAAATTTGGGTTTAAATAAAAATTTAGAATCTATCTAAAACTTGATGATGAATCAAAGGATTATAAAATATATCTTCTTACTCTTTATAAAATTTAAGTCACTTTTGATGAAATTTATTTTTTCAAATTAGACTCTATAATAATAATTCTTAGTGCCAAATCCCTCCAAATACT